AAGGAGATAAGGAGGAACCACAGAATCATGACTATGTGCAACATGCATACTGGTAAGGTCAGCCGTATTAGCTGGAGCCGAAGACATTGGAGGACCAACTGGAAATGAAGACACGTGCAAAGACGTCTCTGGCAATCTAGGAACTTGCAAGGAGGAGGATGAAACCAAGGAAACTTGCATGGACGTGGCTTGGGACTCACCAACATACGGGAATGTTGCAGGAAACGCTGTTGGCTGGGTTGACATGACTGGGCGCGTGTAAACTTGCGTTGACGCAGGTGGAGGCGCGAACACGGCTGGAAGCGTGGGGGCTTGGGTTAATAGGGCTGGAAATGCGTAAGCTCACGTGGACACAGCTGGAAACATGTAAGCTTGCGTGGAAAAAGCAGGAAGCGTGTAAACTTGCGTGGTTTTGGGTGGAGACGTGTACACTCATGCAGAAGCAGCTGGAATCGTGTGAGCTTGCGTGTTAATGACAGGAAACATGTAGACTTGCATGGATGTAGGTGGGGTCGTTAATGAAGAGGTGTAGGAGGTTGTCTCAAACACCAACCCTGGTGGAACGCAAGTGTGGTGTGATAAAGAATTCGCGTTAAACATAAGCTCCAAATACTCGTTCTCGGCTAATTTGGCTTCTAACTTAGCTACTTCAGTCCTTTCTTTCGCTTCTGCGACGTCCTTTTCAGCTTCCAGCTTCACCATCTCCAATTCAAGGTGCTTCTGGTTCATTTCCATTTCTAAACGTTTCACTTCTATCTCGATGGATCTTTTTTGTTTTTGTTCAGTTTGTTTCGCAGCTAGCGCAGCCTTGGCCACTGCTGTTCTTGTGTCACGAAGTCTTGCGCTTGCCTCACTAAGCCTTGAAGAAGCACGACTGCTTGCGGAGCGCAAAGATCTTGTTGGCGATACCATACCAAAATTGACAAAGTCCTGAGATACTTGTTCGTTAAAATGTGTGGCGGCGGCGACTGTATATTCCTCAATCTTCAGGTCGTACTGGAGTTTTCTTGTTTCTTGAGTAACGTATTGGGTATCAACCCCATGAATTTCGATGCTATCTTTGTCCAGGAGACTTCTATATCGTGTAGCATTTTCCTGGACATTACTCCAGGCTTTGTCCAGAGTTGCCTGAACGGACTTAACTTTCGCTAGATTCGCGTAGTTGACAAGGAGAGCGTCAATTTGTGAGCAGGCTTTAGACATAGCCGAAACATATCCCGCACGTGACTTT